TTCTTTTATTGCATTCAAATAAATATCTAAATTTTTATTTTAGATCCAATAAACCCCTCACACTAACTATTCACTAATTTTCGTTAGTTAACAGTACAATGAGTAATTTTTGGTGCTACGTTATCTTCCACGTAGCATGTTGATATGCTATCTTGATGACATCAATGGTATGTGGTAGACGACATGGCATCAAAAATTGCTGATTAGGAATTGAGGTTTTTTTTTTTATCCATCCAAATGTTTAAATATTATTGATTAGGGATTTGAAACAAAATTTTTTTAAAAAAAACCTAACTGTTTTAAACTAATTGCCATCTTCCTAATTGAAGCCTTCTTTCATAACAAAAAAAACTTTCACTTTCTTCAACATTCCCTAAACCCAAGCACTTTATAATCCAAATGTCTTATCCTTGTCTACAATTTCTATTCCTCTTCCAAATATTGTTCTTTGGGTAGTCTTGAAATTTCAAAATCTCTATAAGGTGTGGAGAAAGAATCTATTATTGTTGGTAAATAAAATTCAACACCATCATATTTCTTTTACAGAGTCTAAGGAAGAGAATAGTAGCAGATTTCTCTTACAGATTCTGGGGAAGAGAAGAAAAGGATTTGATTTTCTTTTATCATGGATCAACATTGCATGTCTTTGCTAGTTTCAATATTACAAACAGTGTGTCCTACCTTTGCTCTTCCTCTTCTCAAAATTGTTTCTAGGTATTCTTGGATTCCTCTACATCAACTTTTAGTCATGCAACAATGACTTCAATCAAATTGGAAAGGTTGGATTAGGTGTTTTTTAGGAAAGATGGATGGTAATCAGTTAAGAAACGATGGTAATCATTTGAAATAATTAGTTTTTTTTTAATTTTTTATTTCAAATCTCTAACTAATAATTTTTGGACATTTAGAAAAGGAAAAACCCAATTCCAAGTTAACAATTTTATGCCGCATCATTTACCATGTGCAATTGACATCATCAAGATGACACGTCAACATGCCACATGGCGGATGATATGGCATAAAAATTGCTAACTGTACTATTAGTTAATAGCTAGTGAGAGAGACTTATTTAATTCAAAATAAAAATTTAGGGCCTTATTTGAATGCAGTAAAAAGATAGAGGGTAAATTGACTTTCTTGATATAGTTCGGGGGCTTATTTGGATATTTAGCCATTTAAAATTGATTTGCATTGAAGAGTAAAAGTGCAAATTCATCTCAACGTTTGCCATTTAAATTTCCAATTAAATTGATTTAAATGACTCCACCTCATCCGCACTAAGTCCATATCAGCTAGACTCCTCACCATTATCCACTAGAAATAATTGAATTAATTTAAAACTCCTTAGTGCCTATTTGGCTTGACCTTTTTTCAGCTTATCTACCTCTTAAAAGCAAAAACCAAGCCATTCAGGATTTTTGAGGAGCTCTTAAAAAAAGTAGCATTTTTTTTTAAGAACAAAATTTAAAAAAAAAAGCTTAAAGAAAAGCTCCAAATTGGAGCTTTCTTTTCTTTTCTTTTAAAAATACACCAGTTTTTCAAAAAAATACTCCTCTTTCAATCCATCTCCCTCTCCTCTCCTTCCCTATGCAAATATTGATGCCAGGGCGTTGTAAAGACACTTGGGTGTTGTAAAAGACACCAATCGTGGCGAGGTTGGAAACCACTAAGGTGAATCACTAATCTTGGCAAAGTTGAAAATCCCACTAAGGTAAAAAATAGCCAAAATTCCACTTTAGTTGGCTAGGTCAAAGATACTAACAACCTCTTTCTCTTTAGAAAAAGCCTAGGAAAATAAAAACTCCTGCTTAAGAAAATATTATTTATTAACTCTCAACTTGAATATCTCATAACTAAACCTAAAAGTCCTATTTATAGTATTATAAGCCCACGTCCTAATAAAACTCTACTTCTAGTTACTTAATACAATTAGAATAATTAACAAGAGATTTAAATAAAATAGGTGTTCTATTTTTAAATAGAACATGACTAGCTTAAAGTTCTAATACAAGTAAAAGAATAATTCTATTATACCTATAATTCCTAAATAATAATAATCTAATAATATACTCCTGTATCATTCTCTCTAGGTTGGAGAAAAATCATCTTTAAGATCCATATAATCATAATGTTCTTCATAGTAAGGAGAAAGATCAGCTACATTGAAAGTTGTAGAAACTTCATAATCTCTAGGAAGTTCAATCTGGTAAGCATTATCATTAATACGTTCTAAGACTCGAAATGGTCCATCAACTCAAGGAGATAGTTTTGCATAAGACTTAGGAAAATGTTCTTTCCTTAAATGAATGCACACTAAGTCTCTTTTTTTAAAACTAGCTAGCTTTTTGTGCTTGTTGGCTTGCCTTTGGTATCTGTCAGTCTAACAATAGTCTTCTCTCGAACTTTTTCATGAAGCTTATGGATTTGCTTAGCATGTTCTTCAGTATCAGCTTTAAATTTAGGAGTAATTGATAATGCAGAAAGGTCCAAAAGACTAAAAAAGCGTTTTCCATGCACCACTTCAAATAGATATTTTTCAGTGGTTTAGCTTATAGAAATATTATAGGAAAATTCTGCTTGTGCTAATACAAGATCCCATTGGCAAATGTGTTTACCCACAAAGCTTTGTAATAAGTTTCTCAAACTTTTGTTGACCACTTCTATTTAACTATCCATTTGAGGGTGACTTGCTGAACTAAATTGCAAGTGGGTTCCCATTTTGCTCTAGAGAGCTCACCAGAACTCATGAAATTCACATCTTGATCTAAAGTAATGGTTTTTGGAATTCCATGAAAATGCACAATTTCTTTAAAGTACAAATCAGCTATGTGAGAAGCATCATCAGTTTTATGGCATAGCACAAAATGAGCCATTTTGAAAAATCTATCGATGACCACCATTACAGAGTCCTTTTGCCTTTGAGTTCTTGGTAAACCCAAAACAAAATCCATACTCACATTTACCCAAGGAGCTTTAGGAATGGGTAATGGTTTATACATACCAGTGTTTTGATTTCCAAGTTTGGCAATATAGCAAATACGACACCTTTGAATATGTCAAATGATATCTTGTTCTAGCTTGGGCCAATAAAACTTTTCTTCCACAAGAGCTAATGTTTTGTCTCTCTCAAAAATGTCCAGCTAATCCTCCATTATGCGCTTCCTAAATAATATATTGGCATCAAGAACAATGAGGGATGCATAGTTGGTTACCTTTGAAAACGTACCTTTCTTGCCGATGAAATTATCGATAAGGATGTTGGGAATTGGATTTCCATATCTCACCAAATTCATGATCTTTCTCATACAATTCTCTCTCAACTTCAAAGTCAGCAACCATAAATTGTAAGGTAGAAGGGAGAGTAAGGCGATGACTTAAAGCATCAGTTACCTTATTTTGTGCACCTGACCTGACTTATACTTAAGGAGAATTGGACAAGCTTGAAGAAACTCTTTCCAAGCTGTATGTCGTCGACTAAGCTAGTGTTGGGAGTTAAGGTGTTTAAGGGCTTCATGGTCAGAATACAAGATGAATTCTTTTGGCAACAAATAATGGCTCTAATGATCCAAGGCTCGAATACCAGCATAAAACTCCTTATCATACGTTGAGTATTTCAATCTTGCATCATTAAGTTTCACACTAAAAAAGGCAATTGGCTTTCCTTCTTGAGAAAGAATAGCACCAATACCAACATTAGAGGCATCACAATCAACTTCAAACACCAAAATCAAAGTTCAAAAGTGTAAGCACGGGAGCTTTAGTAATCCTTTTTTTCAATTCCTTGAAGCTATGTTATGCCTTGATACTCTATATAAAACTATCTTGCTTGAGGCATTCTGTAAGCGGAGCAGTAATAGAACTGAAGTTTTTGATGAAATGCCGATAAAAGGAGGTCAATCCATGAAAGCTTCAAACATCATGAAGTGACTTCAAAACTGGCCAATTGACATTAGCATCAACTTTGCTTTAGTCCACTTCAATCCTTTGGTTTGAAATAACATATCCTAAGAAGATAACTTTGTTTGTCATTAATTCACACTTCATTAAGTTAGCAAAAACCTTTTACTCTCAAAGTACTTAAAATATCTACCATAAATGTTCTAAATGCTCTTTTTGACTTCTACTATATGTCAAAATATCATCAAAATAAACCACAACAAACTTCCTAATAAAAGGATGGAATACCTAGTTTATTAGGAGCCTAAAGGTGCTGGGTGCATTAGAAAGGTCAAATGGCGTAACTGTCCATTCATATAGCCTATCACGAGTTTTAAATGTAGTTTTTCGTTCATCTTCAGGTCACATTCAAATTTGGTGATAACCATTATGTAGATTGATCTTGGAAAAGATAATAGCACCAAGTAATTGATTCAATAAATCATCAAATCTAAGAATGGGAAAATGATACTTGATGGTGATTTTGTTGATAGCATGACTATCAATGCACATACATCATGTTCCATCTTTTTTTGGAACTAATAAAATAGGAACAGCACATGGGTTAACACTTTCTCTTACCAGGCTTTTTCTAAAAGTTGTTCGACTTGATTTTGTAACTCCTTATGCTCTTGTGGACTCATACGATAAGCAAGCTTGTTTGGAATTATAGAACCAAGGATTAAATCAATCGCATGCTGACTATCTCGCATTAGTGGCAGTCCATGGGGTATCTCATTAGGTATAACATCACAAAACTCCTCAATTATGGGTTTAACATCTTTAGATAAAGGTGAAGATACTTCATTCTTTGCACAAACTAATAAAAGGTATAAAAGGCTTGACTCATGATAAGCTTTGTTTAAACCAAGCATAGTAATGAGTGCTTTATCTTCCTTTTAACTCTTTGGGCAATCTTCTAGTTTTAATGGAGTCAACATAATTTTTGGTCCATCCTTGATGAAGGAATAAGCATTCTTGTATCCGTCATGGGGATCTCAACGATCATATTACCATGGGTGTCCTAACAATAGGTGGCATGCGTCCATTGGGATAACATCATACTAGACCTCATCTTCATACTTATTTCCATTAGAGAAATGAACAAAACAATGCTTCATTACCTTAACTTCGTTTCCTTTTCTCAGACATTGTAGCTTGTAAGGATGAAGATGTACATTAGTTGGAAGTTTCAACTTTTCCACCATGTAGTTGGCAACAACATTCTCATAGCTTCTACTATCAATATTGACATTACAAACCTTCCTTTGGGATGTGCACCTTGTATAGAATATGTTGTAACAAAGCCAACTTTCATCTTCAGTCATTATAGCAGTGTTAAGGTTACGACGAACAATAAGGGCTTCTCCATGGTGAGTAGAAACTTCTTCTATCTTTTCGTTGTTGAATATTTCTCGCTCATCATCTACTTCTTCCATGTTAGGTTCTTCCATAACTTCTTCTTCAACTAAGGAAATAATTCTTTCAATTGGACAATCAGAAGCAATATCCCTAAATTTTTTGTATTTGAAGTACTTTTTATTGACATTTTAAGCATGAGTAGAAGTAGTCTTTTTATTACTACGGTTTGCAAGTTTGGAAGAGCTTACCTTTGGAGGTGAAAAAGTTGTTAAACTTTGTCTCTCACAATTTGAAGTGGAATCTTTTAGTCTAGATGAACTCACTGAGCCTTTCCGTGATAGCTGTTTCTCAACCTCTAGAGCTAATCCTATGACATCATTTAAGTTCCAATATGATTGTAGTTGAACAATATCTACAATTTCAACATTGAGACCTCCAAGATAAAGAGCTATAGTTTGTCCTTTAGGTTCATGGACATCACACTTCATGTGTAGTTGTTCAAATTCCATTGTATATTCTTCCATCAACATTGCTTGTTGCCTCAAGTTATGAAATTTGATAAAAATTTCTTGTCAACAATGTTTAGGAACGAACTAACATTTGAGTTCTCGATGCACCTTATCCCATGTTTTGATCTTGTTGTGACCTTCACTTTCTCGTTGTCTTTTAAGATTTTTCACCAAATAGAAGCGTGCTTCTTCAATTTAATTACCACAAGCTTCACACGTTTTTCATCGAGAATATCTTTGAGCTCGAAAAATCTTTCCACTATGTAAAACCAGTTAAGGAAGTCATCAAGATGAAGTCTTCTTTCAAACTCAAGAATGTCGACTTTGATTCCCAAATTTTTGGTAGCAGCAATTCTCAGGCAACGAATAGGTACTTCTTCATCAAAGGACAAATTTTGATGAAATGGGTTGGTGTCATTCTTTTCACCACTAGAGCTACTATTGTTGATTTGAGCATCACATCTTATGAGTTGCTCTTATAATTCTTAAATTTGCTGATGTAGTTCTGCAATCTCGATCTCATGATCATCTCTTTAACAATTTTGACGTCTTGATTGCATTTATTGTATGGTGATGATGGTGTGGTGATGTAGAAAAAAGATGATGATATAACTATAAAGCAATTAAAAAACATAAAATTACCCGAACAAGGAATATCGAAACTCGATAGTGAACCTGAACTATGCAGCGAACAATGATCCTCTCGCTCTAATACCAAACTGAAGTCGGGACATTGTAAAGACACCTAGGCATTGTGAAAGACACCAATTGTAGTGAGATTGGAAACCCTATTAAGGTGAATTACCAATCTTGGCAAAGTTGAAAACCCCACTAAGGTGAAAAGTAATCAAAATCCCACTTTGGTTGGTTGGGTCAAAGATACTACAAACCCCTTAAGTCTTTAAAATGAGCCTAAAGAAATAAGCACTCTTGTTTAAGAAAATATTATTTATTAACTCTCAACTTGAATGTCTCATAACTAAGTTTAAGGGTCTTATTTATTGTATTATAGGCCCACTTTCTAATAAAACTCTACTTTTAGTTGCCTAATACAATTAGAATAATTAACAAGAGATTTAAATAAAATAGGTGTTCTATTCCTAAACAGAACATGACTAGCTTAAAGTCCTAATACACGCAAAAGAAGAATTCTATTATACCTATAATTCCTAAATAATAATAATCTAATAATATACTCTTGTATCAAATACCCTTCTCCAATGCCAAATCACAATCTCCCTCTCCTGTATCTCTCTCTACAGAGACTATTAAAATAGAAGACTTAGCAACAAAATAGAAAAATCTAAGATTTTTTTGTTCTTACAAAAATTAAAAAAAAGAAAGACCCAAAATTCAAAACTATATTCAAGTATTATTTAAATATTTTCTCTCTTCCTCACCAAAAATCTAATACTGTTAGAGTTGTTCTATTGTTTTTATGGAATTCTTGGATTTTGAAGATCTAAAATCGTAAATAAACTCGAAGCAAACACATTCCATTTTAGTTTATTAGTGATTTAAGATGGCATTAATAGCCATTATGGTAATTTTAACCAAAATTAGGCCTTATATAATTTATTTTAACAATTCTAGATAAATTTTAAAAGCTATTATTTTTTATAAAAGCTTCATAATAGCTTTTAAGTTAAAAAAAAAAGTTAGGCCAAACAGATTCTAAACTATACCAGCTTTTGCTAGTACATTAGCTTTATTATTGGCCTCATCCCATATGTGAGTGATTTTCCAATGCCTAACTTTTTCCTCTTAAGCTTTCAGTCTTGATAATCAATTGTTTAAACTTCCATGATGCTTCCTCAAGATTATTAGCTCATAAAATTGCATTTGCTGAGTCACTCTCAACCTATAGCTTCACTGAAAAATTAACCATATTAACAGAAAAAATAAAAAATATTATATTAGCCATATTAATATGATTAAGGTATATTTGAAAGACTTTGAAACTTTACTTTGAAGATCAAAGTGCCAATACCATTAAGGTTTAGCAAACCATATAATATAGTATACTCATGATAGTTATCTTTTTTTTTTCCTAACATAGTTATCTTATTTGGATAAGAATATCAAAAGTAATGTTTTGTCCTTTTTACCTTGGTTATAAAATATTATATGACGTTGACATTATTTGATAAAAATTAGGTATAATATTTTAAAACCAATCTTAAAATATTTAAGAAAATTTAAATAAACTGTTCTTCTTTTATTGCATTCAATCAAGCTCTTGTATTTTTATTTGTGCTAAATATGCCCTTGAACTTTTATTTGAACCAAATAAACCATTATAATTAATAGTTGACTTAATCAAAATACCACTTGACATTTTAAATCATGTGGCACTCATATGACAGGATGACATGTCATAATAGATGATGATGTGATATGCTCACATGGCCATGTGACATTTTTCACCTCCACATTAGTGTCACGTGAATATAAAATAACAAGTGGTATTTTGAATAATGATAATTAATCAACCACTACTCATAAGGGTTTATTTGACTAAAAGTAAAAATACAAGGATTTAATTGAACACAATCGAAGAATAAAAGCTTATTTGAATTTTCTTGAATATATCAAGGGCTGTTTCGAGTGTTATGCCTAAAAATTATCACAATTATCTTGTAAGATTTTTCAGATTATGCTATAAATAGGTTTAGGTGTTTCATCAAATAATTCACAAAAAGTATTCTAAAAATTACTACAGCAAAAATGTGAAACCCTAATTTTTAATGCAAAGACAAAAAGGAAAATTACTTGGTGAGCTTAGGAACCATCTTTTAAATCATAATATTCTTGATTTCATCCTTTAAAGTGTTATAAGTTAGTAAACTCATTTAGAAAAAAAGAGAAAAGAAAACAACTCCAAAATAACCTACTTTTGCAAAACTGGACATAATGGGTCAATCCTTTTAAAGAGGTGGTTGATCCTTGCAACCTTATCACTAGCTCCCTGAAGAACTAAAGGTTCGATCCCATTGATGAGGGAGTCGATCCCTAAAACCCAGCATGGGCTGTTTGGGACTTGTTGGACTCAGTCAAAGCTTCTAAAAAAAGCTTTGCCCTTATTCTTTTCTTCAACCACGACACCCACTTTTTTATATTCTTCTTCAAATGTTTTTCTACTTTACTCCACACTCTCATAACTCTTTTCCTTCCTCCATTTTTTTTTGTTTCTATTGAAAACAAAGCTTCAAATCTTCATTCTAAGTTCATCTAAGGTAAGAATTTTTAGTTTCTTGGTTCTCTAACTTCATCTGTTTTAAAAGGTTAAACTTTCTCTTTTGAATTTGAACTTTCTCTTATTATGAAAATTAGGGTTTTTTTTGGGTTTCCTCTTTCCCAAGGTCACCAAGGTAAGAACCCATTAAATTTAGGTTGTTGGTAGTATGGTTATATGGTTGGAAGAAAGATTAAAGGTTAAAATTTGGTTTATTGTGAAGATTGAGCTAAGTTTTGATGGGTTAGCTTTAATTCTGAAAATTTTAGATTAAATTAAGGACTTAATGTTGATTGTTAATTGTTCTAGGTTTTATTAGAGCTCCAAGGACAAATTTGGAGTAGAGTCTTGTTGAGTTGTGTTAGAAATTTAGCTCAAAAGAATTATCTTAAGAAAGGGTGAATTTAGTATTTAACAAATTCTTTTGAAATCTTTGAAGACCAAATAAGAACAAATAGCTTATTTGAATGCAAAGAATTAAAATTGTAGCAAACTTCTTTCAAGAGTTTTAAAAATACTTTGAAGAACTTAACAACTATGAAAACCAATTTTAAAAACAAAGAAGGGACATAAAGATTTTATAAAGGTTCGGCCTCTTTGCCTACATCCTCTCCCTTGGCTCACCAAGGAGTTTAGAACCCAATACGAAAATACTTTTTCAAGGTTCAAGCATAATGTGAAACCCCACTTTAATATAGGAGAACAAATTAAGAAATCCTTAGGTAAGCATGTAGATTTCATATTTTGAACTTTTAAAGTGAGTTTTATCTTCGAAAAATTTCTTGTTTTGATACACTAAGATGATTTGTAAAGCTTGGTGTAAAAATGAGTCAAATTGGACAAATTTTTTAGCTTATGTTTACATACTAGAGCAAATCTATCGATACATGATCCTAATGTATCGATAGATTATACCTAAAAAGCTTTTAAAAAGCCTGAAGAACATCTATCGATAGATGTTTGCCATATATCGATAGATTTCTTCTAGACCCAATATTGATAGATAGCTAAATTTATCGATGGATTATGCCAATTTTGAAAAATAAAAGGGACAGAAATGTATTTCCACACCCCAAAGTTTAAATAGGTCACATGTTTCGAGGGTTTTTCATTCTAGGCTACCTTTCCTCAGTTTTTCGTCAACTCTAAGCTCTTTCAAATCCATTTTCATCAAAGATCATCATTTTTGGAAGATTGAAGCTAAGATTTGAGTTTTATGAACAAAAGTGATATTTTTCAACTTTTAAATCTTTGATTCATGAATTTCTAGCATTGAAAATATTCTTTTTATGCCCATATTTTTTGTTGAATCCGAAAGCTCAAGGATTTTGTGATTATCTTAGCATTAAAGCTCACTTAAGGTAAGGTTGAAGGATTTATTGGTTTCTAAGTATTTATTTGATTAAGTAGTAATTGGTTTAAGTTAGAAAGCTAGTTTTAAATGAATTCAAGTAGTTTCAAAATAGCATAGGATGATTATAATACAATTCGTAGTCTACGTATTGATTACAATGATTGTTGAATGATTAGGAAAGGTTGAAACTCTAAGAAATTCACTGGAGTAGAGTTTTTCTTGTTGGTAGAAGTCACATTTCAAAGGTAAGTACACCTTTTTAAAATAGTTTATACAGTAAAGTTAAGCATGATTTATCGACGTGATTACCTTTCACGATTTGAATCCTATATTGGTTTTGATAAATCACATTGTGCAAGAATAAATGTTTTTTAGTGAAGTTTTCAATCTACTCTGTAGTAAATATCTCTA